TCGCCCCGCGCCAGGGGGTCTCCCAGCACCAGGCAGCGGTACTGGCTGCTGAGGTCACGGCTGCCCGCCGAGGGATTCTCTCTGCTCTGTCTCAGATGGGAACTAGCTGCCGAGATCAGAGCACCGAACGCCCCCCAGCCACAGCTCCAGCCTGGAGCGCAGGCGTTCTCCCGCGCTTACGTCCTGCCCGCGACACAGGCGGAAAACAGACGGCTAGGGCCGAGGTCCTTACAACGCAGAAGGGACGTTTTACTGCCCTCCTCTTATCACAGAGTAATAAACCAGCCCCTGCCAGGTCAGGTCTGGCCACCACACCCAGCAGCTGAGCCGACACCAACATTTCGGTGGCATGCCAAGAGCCCAAGACAGAAGTTTACAACCCAAGAACTGTTGCCTCGTGTTTAAAGCCCCATGCGCTGACTCATCTGCAGGAAGCGACTCCAACACGCAGGGCACACGCGCGGAGCCCTGCCCGAGCTCAGTCAGGCTAGATGGGCAGTGGATGCTCGCACAGCCGAACTGGGCTGGTCGGAACAGGCGAAAGCTTGCAGAAAACGAACGCACGCCCCTGGGCCGCACCCTGGCATTGCTCCTGGACGGGCTCGGTTTCAACTGCAGCCTTTTGGGCAGGCTTTGGATGGGGAGAGGACAAGCCACACACTGTTCCTATCCCTGTTCTTCCCCTCTAGCCACCACACTATGCTGGGGGCACCCCTCTGGGTGAGACAAGCTGGGGGGGGGGATTGTTTCGGCATTTCCCTGGAGTTGGGGCACGGTCAGTCTGTAGCTCTGCTCCGTTAGGCACCTAGCAGCCTCTGGGTAGCGAGAGCCAGGAGCATTTGCCGCCGCTGCAGCCCTCCGTGGCGAGGGACCGGGAACATGGTGCACTCCGCAGCAGTCTGCCACGGACGCAGGCCAGGCTCGGCTCTCAGAAAGGCCGCCGGCAAGGACCCAGCAGTGCACTCGGAGGGGGCACAGAACAGCTTCTTACCTTGTTGGGATGGGCCTGGATGGACAGGGCCGTGTTCACCGACAGCACTTTGAACAGGAACGGCAGCTGGCCCTGGAAGGTCTCCTTGACCTTGGATCCCAGGCAGCCCGGATTATCTGCTATCCACTGTCCCAAGGTCCGCTGGGGGATTCGATTATCCAGAATAACAGCGTCTCCTCTGGGGTGGGTTCCCATCCAGAGCTGCAGCAGGCACGCGTGGGGCGGAAAGGGAGGGACGGAGGACAAAGCCGTTAGCGTGGGCCCTGGGCCAACAGGCAGACGGGGAAGGAGGCAGGATTGTCTGGACACCAGTTCTCCTCCGCTTCCCGCTGCCGGTCAGACTGATCAGCAGCCCCGCTTAGCTTCTAAGGGCATCTCTCCCTTCCCCCTCCCGGCTAGATTAAAACGTACAGAGGCCTGGTCTGCCGGGCTGGATCTCGCTACACGCCCCTACTGCCGCTTCTCCTCTGAGCCTTTCGAAACAGCAATTGCCACGCGGGAAATCACCGCCCCGTCCGGGTCCCTGCCTCCAGCAGCCCCAGCACTTGAAAGGAACCCGCCCCCCACTTTCCCTCTGCAGACTCTGCCAGGGATTCAAACTCCAGCTGGCGATCAGCTTGAGCCCTGAAGCATGAGGCTCAAGGGCCCTTCGTGATCGGCATCCCAACTGGTGCCACTGTGGATGCTGTCCATGTTCCTAGCTGCTGCAACGTTTCAGGGGTGGGGAACCTAAGGCTGGGGGGCTGGATGCGGCCTCCAGCTTGCCTAGATCCAATTGGGGAGTGTGTGCTTGTGCTGTAGTCCCTCGCATCCCCCCGCTGGGCTGGAGCCCACAAAATCTACTAGCCTGCCCCCCCCCCCCAGGCTCTGGGGCATGAGGGGAATGTGGGGAGCGTCTGTCTCCTTCTCAGTTAGGGCCACACCAGTGAGGGTTTGGTTTTGGGGGTTTTTTTGCTTCTCATTTGTGCACGCCCCCCACTGATTTTTCTGTGGGTCAGCAGCCCCCAACCCTCAAAAGGTTCCCCAGCTCCGCTCCAAAGGAGGAGCCAACTTTTGGCCACAGCCAGGACGGTGGAGCCAGGAGAGGGAAAGCGTCTGATTTTGGGATCACAGCAGTACCTGTGCCCTGGAAGGGCAGGGGGAGGGAGCTGGGGGCTTACCTCAGCGTATGGCTTGTCTGGATCTATCTGGGCCAGTGGATCATTGCTGGTCAGCAGCTTGGCCACTTCGCTCTCCAGCCCAATCTTCCCCCAGGCATAATTCTGCACCACGCAGGAGAGGGGGAACACTGCGCACACACACAAACACAAAGGGTTATCCAAAGACGAGACAGGGAAAAATCACTGGCCTGCAAAATGGCTGGACACCATTAACTCCCGGCCACTGGGCTACATTTCCTGCCCACACTCTGGCCTCCACCACTGCAACCTTCTCCTCTGAGAAGCTGCCCCCTCCAAAATGCTGCTGCTCAGATCAACTCCCCATCCCATCCCCTTTCTTCTTTCGGCTCCTCCATCAAAGTCAAGCTCCTAGTCTCTAGGTCTGTGCACAACTTACCCTGTCCCATAGCTGCCCCCGGCCCCTTCTCCCACGTTCATCTTCATGCTTCCTTCCTGTTCCTCAGAACACTCTTCTCCTCCCATCCACCCAGCCACTTTCACCTTCCGAAAACTCTCTTCCCTTAATTTTAAACAACGTCCACCAGAGAAAACAAGGGACAATCCGTATTACAGTAGCCCCTAGAGGCCTGGAAGAGTTCACAATCTGAGTAGGTTGAGCAACCACCATCACGTATCCAACTGTGCTGGGTCTCTAATTGAGAGCACACAGTCCTGGGAGCAGCGTGATGTGTTTTGCAGAGCACAGAGCACAGTTCTACAGCTCCTCCGAAGGACAGCCACCTTGGGCCAGACCAATGGTCCATCTAGCCTATGGTCCGATCTTCCTAAGGTGGCTGATGCTACAGAGGGAATGAAGAGAATAATTATCGAGTGATCCACCCAGACATCCAGTCCCAGCGTCTGGCAGTCAGAAGTTTAGGGATGCCAAAGCATCTCTGACCATCCTGGTCAACAGTCATAGATGGACTCTAGGAGTAATTGTGTAGCGGGAACCTGCATGTAACTGTGAAGTCCAAGCTCATCGGTTAACAGTTTACACAGTACACGGTCACATCCCTAATGGACCCCATCCTCCAGGAACTGATCGAAATCTTTCTGAACCACCATTATACTTTTGGCCTCCACAACATCCCCAGCCATAACTTGTACAAGGCTGACGGTGTGCTGCAGGAGTACTTCCCTGTTTGTTTTAAACCGGCTGCCTGTTAATTTCATTGGGCGATCTCTGGTTTGTGTGTGATGGGAACACTTCCCTTTTCATTTCTACACACCATCCATGGACTGAGTGGTCTCAATGCATTCTACATGCTTTGCTCTAGTGCCACAGTCCAGAATGTTTCACTACAAGACAATTTCCAGTCAGAGCAACACACACAGTGACAGAATTGTGCCCTAGCATAAGCTGTTCAACTATTCCAAGATCCAAAGCGGCCAAACGTAACTGAACGTATGACTGGGTAAATACAGCATCCTCTTGCACCACAAATCTGCCTGCTGCTCATCTGATCCCGAAGAAAACCCGTGTTTGCTCTTGCACAGCCCAGACAGTTATGGGAAAGTCAGCGGGCTTCCACCCCACCTCAAGCATCAGACATGATGGCAAAATCTTTGATCTTCAGGATCCTGTGCAAACCCTGCATTCTTAGATTCCCCAAGTGCTTATGCAAGGCATGGCATTCTTGGTAGGGCCCAGAAACTCTATTGCCAAAGCTAACTAGGAAACTTTCCCTAGTAAGTGCAAAGGGACTGGCAAGGGGAGGCTGGAATAGCAAGCAAGGCCACTGATTTTTGCAGAATTTAAGCATGTATCAAACACAGAAGCCAATCTCCAGCATGAGGCACACAGGAGAGCCTGGCTAGACAGAGAATGGGAGCAACAAAGGAGCTTAGACATTGCAATGCTGATTCTCACTGCACCTAGCACATCACAGGAACAGCACTGTGACCCCAGAGCTGATGGGCGTGAAGGAGTGGAGAGAGGCGCCTCAGAATGCAATGCCCCACAGCCAGCATGGGAGGCCAGGGGCTGCCAGCAACCAGACAGTGGGAGATGCTAAGAAGAAACGATGGGAACAGGCAACTCCCGTCTCTGGGGAGAGCGAGCCAAGCACCGACTCCCCCAGTCGCTTCTGTGCACGCTGATGCCCCATTAAACAATGACCAGAGCTGGGGAGAGGGGAACCCGGGTCCTCCCCCTTCAGCGCCCGAGGCAGAGAGCTGCACACACACGGAAATACCCTTGGGTCCAGCCCCCGCCTTCCAGAGGCAGAGTCCTGCCCTCTGCTTCCCCTCCCAGCCAGCT